CTAGTGTATTTTCGACATGCACTCACACATTCTATTTTTTCTCTTTTCCAGGACGGCTGGAAAAGAACGACCAAGTTTCACAAGGAACCGAAACTTTCATTGTATTTTATCTCTTTATTGTTATGTTGTACCTCGTGGTCCCTTAGTGTAAGGAAAGACGACCAGACGCTGATAAACATAGCAAGCTATCAGAAGAGTGTTTACCAACGACAAACTCGTTGGGTTTAAACTTATGGCTGGTCACGTCTTAGGGTCATCACTACCTCACTAGGGGGGGAGGGATCTGTAGCTGTAAATAATTCCCCAAAATCTATAGCTTTGTAAGTGTTCGACATTGGATGCTGACCACTTTGTTTAAGTGGACTTGTTTAACTGAAGGCTTTCGGTCATGCATCCGTATCAGATCACGTTTCGACCCAGCGTGGGACCCTGCTTCTACGTTCACTAGCCAGCTTAAAGTAAACGCTTCGCGATATATTAGTAACGTATCAAATGTACCTTTCCTACCTCTTCGCATCCGACTTCTGATTTCGATTAGTTGGTAAATGCTTCGTACATAGAAGGTGTTAATGGTTGCTAGTTGCAAAATTAGAATACTAGTCGTATCTTCACTATGTTTCCGTACTCTAAATGGGGACGAACAAAACTGTTGAAGATTAGTCAAACTGGCCAAAAATGCGCTTCAATGTTACCAGTGCAAGGTTTGCTTGAGAGGCGTTTTTGTCACAGTTCGCATACGATTTCAGGTCGTAGGGTACCAACACTCCTAAATCCTTTTCGACTTGGGATACTTCTAGAGAGGAGTTACCTATGTCATAACTATAGTCTGCCACGTGTCGGACTACCTTGCACTTTGAAGTGTTGAAGGTAAGTCCGTTGTCGTCTGCCCAACTTTGAAGTCTAGTCAGATCCTCCTGAAGAACTAGTATATCATTATGACTACGTATCTCTCTCCAAAGTTTCACATCATCAGCAAAAAACAATAATTCAGATGAAACTTGTTGAGGAAGTTCGTTAATATAAATCTAAAAGAGAAGAGGTCCCCGTATTGAGCCCTGGGGGACACCACTGGGACATTCCATAGCCTGAGAGAGAGTGGAGTTAACCGTGACATTAAAATGTCGGTTTTCTAGATATGAAGTGATCCAGTCAATCAAAGGGGGTTTGATGCCCAATCGTCTTAGCTTATTGATAAGACACACGTGGTTGACCATATCGAAAGTTTTTGAGAAATCCAGGTAAATGACAGGTCAGATAGGTATCTGTCATTGAGATCCCGAGTCTGTCCAATTTCTGGAATCGCATTATTCTTCCTAAATTTCATGTCCGTTTTTCTCTATTACAAAAAGACAGATAACTTAATAATCACATGAATGCTGACCAACTTTGGCCGATCATACGAAGCTCGTTATGTCCTAAATTCTTGTGAGTTCTTTCAGTTGTGTTCTCTTATTTACTTATCGGCTTACTCTGAGATTTTGTAACCCCGAATTCTTCTTCAATATTATTTGATCCGCTATCTGTCCTCCTCATTTCTAAACCACATACCATCTGGCCAGGATCTTATTACGTATAACCTTAACTAATTTTATACCACTGCAAAATAGCATATGTAAATCTAACCGGCAGTACAAAAGTTCGCGTTATCAGATTCGCTTGTAACATGAAACTAAAGAGAGGATGTACCCTAACAAGGTGTGCGAAAGGGAAAATAAGTTGAAGTTTTACTCACATTTACCAAATACGTAAGAAAACCTAACATCAAAAAAGGAGGAAGGGTGGCGTTACTGACCAGCAAATATAAAAGTTAGGAGAAAACATCGATATACCCGTGATCGCAGTACAGGATATTTTTTTAAGACCACTCGAGGTTTGGTGGGATTTAACAGTTTAATGGTGTTAATGCAAATATATAACGTGAAATACCTCCTAAAATCGTGTTTGTGACGTTGAGCAGCTTCATTTCAAGGAAAAAACCACATTACTCTGTGCAGGTATGTGAAAGCATTAGGATGTTTTCTTCTCACAACAGAAGTAACGGAATAAAAACGGTTGGTTCTAAGAATATGACATTTTGTCCTGCCCCATAGGTTTCATCCACAGAATTTTGAAGCACGAAGCTAACACACCACAAAGTTTTCACAGAAAGGCTGTGTATAAGTTACATCAAGATGTTATCTCCTAGACTTTCAGATTATATTTTCAGGTCGCTACGATCACTAATTACCCGTTTTTCTTCAATAAGAAGTATCTTCACACTTCAAAGGCAACTGTGAAGTAACAGACATTTACATATTCCTAACAACATACGAAATTATCTCATAATCAAATTTCATCTTTTCCATTGACTATTACATTCGCTTTCACTTTCAACCATCAACTTCCGTTTTTTATTTTTTCAGTATGTTCCATCAGTGCCAACTATCTTGGTCCACAAAATACCTTCCTAGATTTCCTGAAGCCCAGCTTCAAACTACATGTTGAAACTCTTGATGTCCAAACCCTAAGTCAAACATTTCAGTAGGCGTTACTAGCCGAAAACCTGCAATCTCGTCCCAATGATATATGCTGCTTCGCCGAAAATGCAGGATTCTAGATCTTAACATGGTAATTTATTTAAGTTCACCTGTCCAGTGGGCCTGTGGAGGTACTGGTTCTCAAAGACATGATTCTTAGAACAGAACATATAGTGGTTGTTATGTGGAAGGAAAAATAATATATGATTGGTCACTGAGCGTAGCCAAATAGGTACTTAGCTTATTGTCTAACATATGTGTGACTTCTTTTAAATCCATTGATCTATATTCCGGACACTTTTGGTGTGATTACTTGCAATAATGTCTACTATTAAAGTGGTATAATGCTGAATGAGACCATAATTTTACAATTGTATGCAACTACATTGTAAAACATTACTCTTTACGTTATTTCTTCAGCTACAAACGCTACGATGCACTCAGCTTTAGTGAGGTGTTCAAGGTTTTGGTTACTGTCAGGCGCCCACATGTTTGTGGGAAATGTTAAATGGCCACACTTGCCGCTAATTTTTCAGAGAGAGTTTTGTAGCTGACGGATACCAGTACTATAGTGATCAGTATCTTGGTTTATATCAAGTAAAGTATTATATACATTAGTTTCTGAAATCCTGGATTTTGGCCTTAGAAAATATTGCTGACGGGTACAATATGTTGACTTTTCAGTGTACTTGGTTATAATACTTTTTATAACAACCGGTTTTACCATCAATGTGCTACCTGAGGAGATGATTAGGTTGTCGCGCGGCAGTGATAGTGAAATTTGTGGATAAAAAGCGAGGAGTTTAGTAGATGAAGGGTTGACTTTGTCAAGCAGTGACTCGTCAGTCATTGGGATTACAGATTTCGACTTTTGAGTTGGTTTAGAAGTAGTTCATATTTCTCTGGAATGAATAATCAAAACTGAAAGCTGAGAGAGTAAATAGCTTGTTCACTACATAGAAAATATGAGATTATAGCTGATAAGTACTAACCGGATGAGTACCAAAATCAGTGACTACGTGTATATGAATGATTTGGAGATAGGTGTCAAGTTATTAAGAGTGACACTAGCTAGCGATCGAGTATTTATTTTTCAATGAATATAATTAAGAAATAGAAGCTATATTAAGAGCTTTTATAAAATATTTGGAAAAGTCCAGGATGGGCATGTACTAACTCGTGAACGACCTTCAGATTCCACCTCACAGGCGTTAAATGAACTTGATCATCTCATTGCAATGCACCCTACAGATAAACTATTCAGAAAGGAAGACGAACCACGTGAGAAAGTCTTACTACTCTCAAAGTTAGTGCTTAAGCAACTTCATCATTAATTCTTTTGCGTGCGATTCTTCATTGAAATACTTTATCTCCTATAACCTCCTGACTTCAGCTTAATATTGTCAACCATAGAATTGAACCTAGACACCACTACATGTGACATTCGGGGCATTCCTTTCTACTAGCACAAAAAAGCTCACACGAAAATCCATCCAAGCGTTTTTGTATGATTTCTTATCGGAAACTACACTGACGACACCTACCATTGAATCTTTTAAGGAGGGCTATAAATTTAATTTGATTCTTAAGTTGCCATAAATGTTTAGGGATGGCAACACTTTTTCCCTGGACACTTTTATAATCAAAACATACCAATTCATTCGAATCGAAAGTCAGGAATGTAAAATTTGGAAGATATATTTGGGAATTTATCTGTTGGTTCAGAAGCGTTCAATCTGAGCTGGTTATTTGTTGCCAGGGTTGAAAAGCACAGTGTACCTAATCATGATATGGTCAGGATTCATAGCTGAGAGCTTTCAACAGGGTTTTTTTCAGTAAAACTAATGTGGTCAGCATCCATGATGAGGACATACTGGACCATTTTTGCGGATTTATTTATCACTCCATTTCCTCAGGTACTAAGACAAAGAATTCAAGATGTCACTTTTCAACAATCCCACCAATAACTGACCAACATTTTCACATTCAAACGCAGAAGGAACGTAGGAAGAATCATATCTCTCCGCGATCACTAAGACTTTATAACTAACCACACATAGATCCCAATTAGACATACAATTTGTTATGTTTGTCCAGAATACTATTAGGCATATCCGATCAACGGCCGCAATTTTTTTGTGCATGAAACTTCTACAAACTGCGTGTACATCCCAAGAAGCTAACAGTTGACTAATTCAATCACGCAGTTTGTAGTTTATCTGACCCTACGAATCATAGAAAAGACCTTGAAGTGTTCATTAACACATGTTGATAATTTAAATAACACTGGTTCTGAATATTAGGTTGGTTTGATCTCACGCTTGTGTCATAGCTGTTTAGTGTCGATTGCCTTAATAAATAATTGTAAGTGTTTTTATGTGCTTACTGGTCTATCTGTTCACTTTTTGTCTTGTTTTTTCTGTTTTAGTTTCCTCCACACATTGACCTGGTACACAACCTACCGAAAGTTGAAAATTACATCAGATGGCCATTTCACCTCGTCTTATTGAATATGGGTTGAAAGCTGCTGGGATTATCACTGCTGTTTGTATGTTTCCAAGTATTATACATATTTAGCTTTCAGTATGCTTTTCAATGGGAGTTGTTTGCATGATCTCCATATCAGCGCAGTGCATTATTGGTGGACTTTTCCTAATGTGAGTTTCACTTCAAGCCAGTATTACAAGTGTTTTCATCACCGTTACCTTATTTCTCAGTTTACTCCGTAGTTTAATTCCATAAAGCTATCACATTGCAATGTGGGTAGATTCTAGTTTTGAGCAATATCTAATATTAAGTAGGTAATCCGAACAATTACAATGCACGTTTGCAGTCTATATTCTTTGTTTACCTCTGTTTGTTATCACTTCTCGTGAGTGAAGTACGTGAGATGGTCAACAATTTATCTGGTGATTCTAAGCCGGAATTATCTTAGTTTTGTCGAAATTCAAGTTACATACTTGGAGACCAGTAACAACTGGAGGTCTTATTCGATTTGAGCTTTGAACTGCATCGTATTAGTAGGCCTACTTAATGCGATATACCTGGATATGTGGATTTTTGCTTAGGAACACTACCTTTTAAGCTGAAAACAATTGACTAAGTCTAATTACGTTTATGATATTCCTGAAGTATGCTAAGTCAAAAAATACTGCCTAATGCCTTGTTAGTCTTTATGATTACACAGTGATGTTTAGACATTTGTAAATCTGGACACGTAAGACTGACAGGATTATAAACTTTAAAGAAACAATCACATAACATAGCATAATTAGCATTCATTAGTCGCAGATCACGCCATTAAGCTTTCTGGATAAAGTCAATTATAAATTCCCAAAACTGACAACCATGTGTGCCTAAAAATAAATATGGTCAGCATTTCACTTGATATGAGAAAGTGGATATGTGTAATTTATTTAATCTCGTAGTTATAACGCATGTTGAGGTCTTGAATTTACTTTTCTGTAAATATTTCAGTCTTCGTAACTATGCGGCAAACAAATTAGTATTCCTGTTATTGAAAATTGTACATGAGTTCACTGTTTTCTCCTTCAGTTCCCATCATAACTTCGAATCTTTTCTTTTTTCTGTTAATTCCTAAAGTTTAATTGGTATAGTCGTCATAATATTCGAAGCACCAATATGTTGTTCCATGATACCTCAATTGCATAAATTCAATGAATTCATTGAAAAACGATCCCCGATTGAAAAGTCGATTTTCTATGGAATGTAAGTAAATATTCGTAATTTCTATTTGCCTTGTAGTGCAGCCATTTTACCAATGAGTTTATGTTTTGGGATTTCTACACTATTTTGTGGATTAGCTTTGGCTGGATGTTGTGCATTCAATGTCTGGAGAATTTTTAAAGAAAGGTTAGTTTAGTTTATTTACTTTCATATCTGTATTTACAAATTTTATTGTCAAAAGATTAGCTGATTCATTTGATCATAATATTAGTATTTTTAACCTGAAATTCATTCCAGTTTGGATGGTGAGACAGTAACTGCCTTTAGATAATAAATATGATTGACATCATCGAAAGAATTTGTCTGTGTTTGTGAGTCACGCCCGCTCTTTTGTCTTTTTATTGTCCCCATTATTTTAGTTTGGTCAGGCAGATTAGAAATATGCTTCACGTAGTATGCAGAACTTCTTATACCTATAGTAACAATCTGTTAGCTAGATTATTGTTTATGCTCGTGCTTTTCAAATTTTTGAGTAATGTGTAAGATCAACATTAAGTTTTAACATAACTTAATCAAACCGAGGTTAATCACAAGCTGTTATTGATCATAGGTCGATTAAGCTACCTACTGTTCTTAACAGACATTTTACTAAACTTTATTCAGTGCTGTTTTAGCAAGTTTTATAAGTATAACTTATGTGTTGCAGTAAATCTTAATTAGGTCAACAAAGTAGAACTGATTTTCATTCTCGAAAATGCTTTGACAACGTTTTACTTATTTAGACCATTCGTTCCTTCGGTAAGGAATAAAGCTAGACTTCAGTCTTTTATCAATGTATCTTTCGTGTATTTATAGCCGTTAATAGGTTTATCTCATATCGTACATTTATATACAGTTATCATATATGTAATAAATGTTAATGTAAACTTATCCCAACACTAACTTTAACAATCATTGGTTTTAACCGAAATTACCACTTAATCTGTAATATATAATTCTTTGGTCCCTGACTGGTGTATAGATGGTTGCATTTATGGAATAAACTGCAGATTAATATATGTTAAGCTAGAATGTCCTCATCTTTTAAACGTGATATCCACTATTTTATAAGTTAATACTTTCCTGCTCTCATTTTACTGTATATACAAAACATTTTGTTCTAGACGCGATGGACAAGCAAATCCAGTTGGCGTTGGTTCTGACCATCATACTCAATATGCTGCAGGTGAATCACAACCTTCAACGTTTCAAGGTGGATATGGTGGGCAACCAGGATTTAGGGATCAGTTAATTGAAAAAGCTGCTGTCGGTGCTGTAAAAGGTGTGATTAGTGGTCCTGGAAGTGGTGGTTATCCAGGAACAGGTTATTCCGGTACTTAGTTATTATCTTAAATCAATTGGTTACGATTTATCTTCTGCCAAGATAATAGTTATGTTTTGTGCTTTCTTTTTCTATCATTATGCAAATGAGTTACATTCCATGTATTCTTTTTTTCGTTTTATTATTATCTCTTTATAAATGGCTATATATATATATATATATATATATATATATATATATATATATATATATATATATATATATATATATATATATATTAATTGGCATTTATTGCAGTTGTTTGTTTTACATTACATCTATTTAGTTGTATTATATACCACTTGACTTCACTATAATGTTTATCAAAATACCACACTTGACTTTGAATCTCAATTCCACTAAGTGATACATTGTTATTGTCAACTTTTTTTAAATTTCTATAACTATTCTAGTTGTCGTAGATAGATTACTTCAATGATTCTTTTCATTACAAACAAGATATTGTTCAAGAGAATCACTGTAAAAGTGTCAATCCAAAGTTTGATATCCTTTATTAAATTGTCGATGATATTCTACCGATAGAATGTTGATAATTGTACATCAACTGATTTAGTGTTGTATAATTTGTCGACAGTTTTGTGGATGACATCATTTTAAAACAGAGACTACTCATCGATCTATTTTTTGCGACACGTGATATTACTATTGGTATATTCGTTTTTATTTTTCAAATGACTTATTTCCATCCAGGATTATTGATATTTAAGAACTATTTATCTTCGTCTCTTTGTGTCTATCAGTGTTTCACTTATGTTTATTGTCAAATCTATACTTTGACCGAAACTCGTTGTTAGAATTATTTTACCACCACTAATATTAATTTTGTTGTGATTGCTTTTCTCACCAAAAACATTTCGATTGAAAATCATCTTTATTTTAGCTTATTCTAGCCTATTAAAAATGTCTGTGTACTGCCAGCCATACTGTGCTGTGATGTTTCTTATAACTGTACGAATTGTCAGTCAGTCAGTCACAACGTAGAACTTCGTACGTATGTACATCAGTTCGAGTTGCCATACCACATTAGCACAGAGATGCAGTTGTCGATTCAAATCCCATAGTGGTAGAAGTAGTAGGAGTATAATCAGAAATTCAAAAGATTAGGGTTTGAAGAAATTATTGAAGGAGTATAGTACAGTGAAATAAATTTGGAAAGAGAAAAAGATAAAGACATGAGGAATTCAGAAGATTAGAATTTGGTAGAACACAAAGAGTGGATGCACCTTCGCCATTGCAAACGATTTTGAGCCATGTCACCAGACCACAAGGGCTGTTGAGACTCCCAAGATAAGTGAAGTGGTCTACACGCTCAACTACTTCACTCCCTATCATTAGTTCAGGTGTCGGCGCAACCCAATCCTGAAGTAACATTTTGCACTTCGAGGGAAAGAATCGCATCTCGAACATGCCTGCATAGTTGCTTATAGTGGTCAGAAGACTGCATGTTGTCAGCGTCTTCATCGAGTAAAACTATGTCGTCGGCGTATTCTAAGTCAACAAGTGAGCCTCCTGGTAAAAGTTCAACTCCTGGATGTTTAGCTGATGAAAGTGCTATTTCTAAAAGTATGTCAATGACAAAGTTAAACAAGAATGAGGAGAGTGGACAGCCCTGACGAACGCCACTTGTGGTAATCAGTTCTGATGACAGTTCGCCATAGGCTCTAACTCGACCAGTTGTGTTCGAGTAGAGAGTCTTTATGAGGTTAATGTACTTCTTTGGTACTCCTTTCAGTGACAAACACTGCCATAGAACCTCACGATCAACGGAGTCAAATGCCGCATTAAGGTCAAGAAATACTACTATTGTGGGACGTCTGAATTTGTGTCTATGTTCTAGGACCTGACGTAGAGTGAATATCTGGTCTATGCAACCACGTCCAGGTCGAAAACCAGACTGGTTTTCTCTAGTCTGCTCTTCACGAGCTTTGGTTAGGCGACCTAGTATTATTGAAGCTAATATTTTAGACACTATATTAGTCAAACTGATTCCTCTGTGATTGTCACAAGAGGACTTTTGTCCTTTCTTATAGACTGGCACAATCAGTGATTGGGACCAGTCAGATGGAATTACGTCCAGGCCCCAGATTCTACCTAAGATCTCAGTCAATCTCACTGCTAGTACTGGACCACCATCTTTAAAAATCTCAGGGGTCAACCTGTCAGGGCCTGCTGCTCTCCCTCGCTTCAGATTTCCTATAGCTTTTTCAACCTCACAGAGGGTTGGAGGACTTACATCAATTTGCCATTCAGGACGACTGGGGATCGTGGGTAATTGAAGTGTGGCTGAAGGCCAGTTGAACTGATCCCTAAAGTGTTCTGCCCATCGATCCAATCTCCTGGATTGAGAATGAATAATATGCCCATCTTTATCTGAGATGGTTTCACTGATATTCGGGTTCCTAATACCGGTTTCTTTAACGAGTCTGAATAGCTGCCTACTGTTACCTATTGCCACTGCCTTTTGCATCTCTCTTGCTTTCGCTACCCACCACTGTTCACGATCATCACGTAGGCTTCTTATAAACCTGCGCTTAAGTTGACTCCGCTCTTCGTTATGCTCAGAGCCAGGTGGGATGAGTTTACGAGCATCTATCAGTGCGGTAGATGCTGCCGAGATCCATTGTTTCTCCCTAACCTTATGGTTTACCTTACTAGCGGATATCACTGCTGTTTCCACAGCTTTTCGGATGTCATTCCACGCTGCCTCGGGGTGGACACAACTTACATGGCTGCCAAACTGTTTTTCTAGTTGTTCCTGAAATATATTCTTAGCTTGCCTATCATTAAGTAGAACCCTTAGAGGCTTCCCTGCAGTGTCTTTCCTACGACCAGTAAGACGCAGACAGATACGTGCCCGCACTAGAGCATGATCTGAATCTAAACATGTGCCCCAGAATGAGCGACAGTCTTCTATCGAGCCCCTCCATCGGTGGCAGATAGCGATGTGATCTAATTGGGTCCAACGTTGGGACGAATTGGGGGGTCGCCATGTCAAAAGATGTTTTTCCTTATGCTTAAAGTTAGTATTTGCAAGAAATAGGCGGTTATCTGAGCATAGCTGCAACAGACGGTCGCCATTATCTGTTCTTTTCGCCATGACACCATAAGATCCACCCAGGTGTCTTTCCCTTTCACTTAGTTTACCTACTTGAGCATTAAAGTCACCTGCCGCTATCACTACACCAGAACGCCTAGCTTCTCGGAGAAGGTCAGAAAGTTTCCTGTAGAACTCATCTTTTATATCGTCTGAGCTGCAGTCAGTGGGAGAGTAGGCAGAGACGACGAAGAGGCAACGACGAGTTTCCCTATCTTTCCGGGTCCTTACTGATCCGTTTAGTCGGACAGCGCATAGACGACTGTCTACTGGGATCCAGTCTAAAAGAGCTAGTTCTGCCCTAGGACTTAATGCTATACCTACTCCAGCGAGGCCACGGGAAGCAGCATCAGGGCTTCCAGATACACGAAGCGTGTATCGAGATGGTTCTTTATTTTGATTAGGTGCAGTCAAATGAATGACACTACTCGGATCTTGTATGCGCGTTTCGGAGACGCAGCACACATCGATGGTGTAAGATTCTAAAGTCCTAGCTAAGGAAGCCTGTTGTCCTATTTGGCACAATGTTCGGACATTAAAAGTTCCTACATGTAGTTTAGAGCGTGGTTTCAGGAGACCAGGAATAACGTTCTGTGTACTCGAATCGTTTGCCTTAGCGGTGCGAGGTGATAAAAGGACGTGGGAAGGGTTAGTCGTGGAGATAACAGAGTTGTTAGGTGTAGTAAGGATTTGAAAGCGACCAACTTGGTCTCGTGTGCAGTTACGTATGCCTGAACATCGATTACCACGACGCGCTATGCTGACTAGTACTGGGGATTGTTGGAAGAGAGTTAGGGGCGGCCAAACCAAAACATGGCATCAGTGTTTGAAGTCACTAACTTCTAGTCTGAGCCATGTTGGCAGATGCAGACTACCTGGTTTGGGTCCGCGTGACTATCGTAACCAATGGTTGGAGACTCTAGGTGACATGGCTCAGAATCGATCACAATGGCGTAGGTGTATACACTCTTTATCTTCCTTTAAACCTTGAGACTAAAATTGCTTCATATCTCTCTTCCTTCTTGTACTATATCCTTATATGCAACCTATAATTTATATACTACTACCACCACTAAATTAATTACTTCTATGAACCCGGTGTTCATCTTGTTGTGCCAACGAGGTATGACAACTTGGACCGATTCATAAATGTGCCTGGTCCTACGTTGTAGCTGACTGATTGACGTGTGCAGTTAAGGGTATGAGGGCTATTATCACTTCCCGGCTGCCCACACCGTGGAAGGGTATTTCTTGAGGGACCTGAAAAAGAAGTTGGATTAGTGTTGGTCTTAACGACCTGGGAGCGTGACCGCAGTGCCCAAGGGACATCTGATTGAGGCCGGTCACGCACGGCCTTTTTGTGGGGGATTTTTGACGTGTTAGCTCCGTTCTTCAAAAGTCCTTACCGCCAAGGACGGAAATCCGTGGGATAAGGCGAGGTGTGCATTTTTAGGGTCGACCTTTTCTAACCCCACCCCTTCTTGTAGGAAGGCAGTATCGCTGTCATGCTGGTTGTCTGAAGGAAACACCTTACTGCTTTCACACTTCTGTACAGTCAGCAGTACGACTTCGCCTTCGGACCTTGGGATTGCTGCTTTTAGTCTCACCGCTCTTCAACCGACCTGTCTGGCATGGTAGGACCTCGAGGAACTATTGTTCCAGCCAGTATAGCTCGATTGGATCATCACGATAGGCAAGCCCGACCACCATGTCAGGGTAGCAGCAACGGTCGGGTTGTGTAGTAGCTCAGTTTTTCTGTAATGAATAAAAGCCGAGCAAGTAATATTTAGTGTTTCAGAAGTACGTAGGGATCTTTACTGATGCTCGTAAAAGTATTGTTTATTCACTTTTGGTCAGAGTAATAAAATGGATCTAAATTCTATTTGGTTTATGTTTC